CCCGCTACAGTACTGCAGTGTATATTTGTTGAGGAATTACTAACTGTCCTTACCATGAGTGTAGCTCCCAGCCAGGATGATGATGATCAGAAACAGGAACTACTCTTTGTCATCCTCGGAGCATAAAATAAGGAGGCAAACAGCATGTCTATAGGACTGTTTCAGGCTGGGAAAATGGCAGACAAGAGAGACAAATCCTTCCCGTTGCATGCCATGGTCCCAGTTTGAATTGTGGCCATGCATGTCTGCAATTTAAAAAAAGAAACAACTGGAAGCTCCATTTGCAGAATTCTCAGCATCTTGGCTTCTTGGTCCCACCCTGTGCATCCTGGCAATGAAAGCAGCTCAGAACAACCCTTTTTATGTAAAACCAAAGTAGCTAAGCAGTGGCATATTTGCAGTATTAGGAGGAACAAATTACACACTTTTACCTTAGGGAGGGAGGGAGTTCTTGCCCCAGTTTCTTGCCTGGTGTAAAAGCTAAATAGCTCCCCTTTTGAACCCCCCCCCCCGGTTGATATTTCTGCTGCAAAGAGGAAAGCAGAAATTTTTGAAATTTGAGGGTATGATTTGAGAGTCTGCACTCTAGTTGTCAATCCTGCAGCCTGCAGTCTCTTGTCCTAATCTAATCTTAAAATGGTATGCATGCTGTCTCTTGGGGACTGAAGGCCTCACAACTCTTTTTCACACTTAGGAAACAATATGGGTATAAACATTGAGGGAAACCCAAAGTTCCCAGCCTCTTGTTTCCTTTGGATTCGATGCAGGGTAGGAGGGACACTTGTTGGAGAGAACTCCTGGGTGGGAAGACAGCTTAAGTCTTCTAAATAAAGGTCCAGTGGCACCTTACAGACTAACAACATTTATTTCAATATGATGTTATGCCAACTTCTCCAGGAAATTCCTGGAGACCCAATCCAAGTTATCTACCAAGGAGTTGGGTGGTTGTGGCTGTGCGTAAGTTCTATACCAGTCTATACAGAGGTCGGATGGCGAATGAAACGCTCGCTATTGCCCAGGAAGTGAGACAACACGCTAGTCCTTAAATAAATGTTGTCTTTACTAAAGGTTTTTCATCAGGCATACAAAATCGGAATCATACAAATTCATACAAGCTCCTTAGTTACAATAGTACATTAGAACAATTACAGCATAGAAAATAACAAAAGCATCAAAATGGGGATGACACAATGGGGCACGGCTATACTCATCTGAGGTCCAGCTGAGGAAGAACTCTCCTCCTTGGAACGCTGGGCAGCCGAAATGCAGCAGCTTGTGAACTCCAAGGCACACAGGTAGGACCAGCCAAACCACGTGTGAGCTCTCTGGGTCGCGACTCCGGAGAACTTAAGTAGTAGAGTCACTTGTAGCACCTTAGTGCACTGCTATGGGAAGGGTGGGTTAACCAGAGAGACAAAGGAGAGTTTCTCCTTAAATAAACTCTTTTTGGGGCATGTGCTATCCAGCCATAAACTATCAAACCCGTCCTCTAAACTATCACTACTGGATGAAGAGGGGGTGACGAGGGGATGACGAGGGGATGACGCTCTCCTGAGGGGTGGTGGCAATATGCAGATCCTACTTCTACATCAAAGGTGCCTTTTGGCAAGGTGTGAATCTTCCGTTCCCATGGACACCCTCTTGATTTGCAGATCTGGTTCCTGCTCCAAAGCCATAAACGCTATTGTCTTTAGATCTCCAAACCAGATTAAGGGAGTAGGGTCACTTGCTCTTTCCATTCCAAGAATGCCGGGGTTCGCTGGGGATTTTCCACAGCTCTCCAAGTGGGTGCAATGGCGCGGTGTCTTCTCCATCCCACAGAGTCATGGGATACATTCCAGGGACGCACATGGTCCGTATGTGCAATGGCAGGCCCAGGCCAGCCTATTCCTAGGCAAGCATGAGATGCAGAACAAAGCAACACACAACATACAGCAATCCCTGAATACACAATGCATAGACACACATAAGCAGCATCACCACTATACAGAAATACAAACATAAGCTCATATCGTTACAATGAACTTTTGTGAGTCGCTGCTTATTTTGTCAGGTATGCTGGTTTCCCCCTGCAAACATGGGAGTCAGTTTAAAATTACTTGTCCCCAGCCAGGTTCCGAAATCATAAGGGAGTCCCACTGGGGGAAATCAGAAAACGCAGGAGAGATAAAGTGCCACCTGCCAGTGGTCAGTCCACTACAGGTCTTCTCCACCCCTGCATTCCCCTTATCTTGGCAAACAGAACTGGAACCGCCTATTCCCATTCCATTCTGGTAACCACCCACACCCATCTTGTTCTCTGAGGCTATTTTATGTCACGGAATAACTACAGACAAGAACAATTCTGCTTGTTTATGCTCAGGGTTTCCTACCAGTAAGTGGAGACACCTAAGCCAATCCTCATGCTTGTTTTAAAGCCATAGTATGAAACATGAGCATGATGCTTTGTTATGTGAACTGTGTGACAATCCTGCTGATTCATTTCATTGTGCTTGTGTATGCTTATTTTGTAGAATCATTGATAAGGAGCAATACACTTGGAATGTATGAGATCAAATCCATACAATACACTATTTTCCTATGGCACCTGTGAATAGCTGCCATTCAAGTGGGGCCTGTGGGGAATCCCATCTCCTCTCCACTCTCTCATCAAGCCCAGCACAGCCCCTGGGCTCTCTGGCAGCCGCCAGCAGATCCAGCATGGAGCCCTGGGTTGTTTGGTAGCTGCCCCCAGTGTTAGCCAAATTGCTTTGTCTACAGCAATTGGCAAATTTTATACTGGGTGCTTGCCAACTATACCAAGGTCCTGTTCCCACCAAAGGGTTACCAGAGAAGAGTTGAAGCTGGTGTTGTTAAAATAACTATATTTTACTTAAAGAATATAAATCACATACAAACAATACTGATGCGCTCACACATTCAATCAAGTTCCTTAGAAATACAGTATTAAAATAAGCACGTTTGCATTAGCAGGTGGGGGTGATGATGGGTGATACTTATCTGTCCTGAAGCTTGTTCGTTCCAATGAAGAATGGATGGGAAGAAATAGAAATCTAGGGAGTTTTAACACATGACTAGAACCAGCCAGCACGTGTGGGTCTCTTGACTGCTGATCAAGAGATCAAAGTAGAGGCAAGGGTTTGGGTATAGCAAGTGGGACTCAAGGGGAGTAAAAAGCAGACAGGGGTCGTTGTGGGGAATGCTAGCTAGGAAGGGCCAGGTGAATGGTCCTTACCTTTTATAGGTGGTCTTTTGGGTGGGTGGCAACTGTGCCAACCTCATGACCCACCTACCTATTAGTCCGTCCCATAAACAATCCCATTGGTTGCATGTAGTGAGGGGTGGCTACCTAGAGGGTTGGACAATATTGTAACCTAAGACCTAACTCAAAGGATGGCATCTGGTCAAGTGTGAAAACTTGGCGTCAGGATGCTCCCTTGAAGTGCAGATTTATTTATGTATTTATTTATTTATTTATTTTTTGCATTTATACCCCGCCCTCCCCGATAGGCCCCAGATGAAGCTTGGCCATTCCCTGGTCATCAAAGGTCCATCTGGCAGGAAATGCCAATGTAGAAACAAAGCAGAGATGTGGAGTGCGTGACTGTAAACAATTCAGCAATGGGGGCTGCTGCTTCTCAAGTTGTTGTTTTGCTGACAACAATGGAGATGTGTGCTTCCTCACCAGGCTGGTAGCTGTGTAGCTGAAACCTCATTCACGTGTTAAGGCTTATGCAGGCACCCTCTATGTGTAGCATCACAACAGGTGACTTGTACAGCTTTCTGAGCCTATGTGTGTATATGTGCACAGTCCATTGTGTGTGTAGCAGCAAATATAGTTCATAAAGCAAAGTATCAATTTGTATCAATTTCATTCCTTAACACCAGGTCCACTGCGGCCCCTGGGCTCTCTGGCAGCCGCTGGGGGGCCTGGCGCAGCCACTGGGCTCTCTCTGGGCTGTGCTGCTGCTGGATCCAGTGCAGCTCCCGGGTTGCACCGCCAACGGTAGCATGCCCAGTACAGCTCCCAAACTGCATGGCCGCCACCAGCACCACTGCCGTTGACTGCCAGAGGTCAACACTGTTTTACTTTTCTGGGGATTTAACCTCCTTTAAAAAAAAATTAAATTCAGATTTTTCTACACACCTGAGAAGTGCCCCATGTTTGCTGAAAAATCTGTTTAGCCTCCATGTGGCCCTGATCTGCATATTCAGCTGTCCACAGATGGGGGTCACAGGTGGCTAATAGTATATAGATTGCCTTTTCATGAATGGGTACTCTTGTTTCTCAATTGCCTCATGCACACAAGATATTTTATAATACACAAATTATGCCTTTTTTTTTTTTGCAAATAACTTTTTATAAAAAATTTATTAAAAAGTACAAAACATAGAAATGAAAAATATCCAAACTTTGTAACAACATTATAAACTAATCATAAAACACAAAAACCTTATATACAGTCCAATTTTGTACTAGTAGAAAGCAAAGTCTATATTTCTATGGTAGATTGAAGGTCCGTGGTTAACAGGCTACAATATATTCAAAGAAAACAAACCATTTTTCCAGAAAGTTGTTTTCAATATTAGGGTTGTCTTGCGTTATAAGCTGCATTGCAATTTTGTCGGAGATAATTATAACCCATATCTTTGTTCTCCATTGGGCTATTGTAGGGATTTTGTTTACTTTCCAATTCAATGCTATTAAGTTCTTAGCAGCCATCAGTAGTATTGAAATGACATCCGTAGTATTGAAATGACAGCCTTTATATTTTAATAAAATATTCAGATCTAACTAGTAGGCTTGAATGTTATTGGTGCCAGTACATCTTGTTTTTTAAGAGTGGCTTGTTCTTCAGCAGTGTAATTTATGTGCATCAGCAAGCTCACAGCTTGGTGTTTGCAGATATCTTGCAAGTATTTTCATCTTCACAAGTTTCTTGGTTTCCTGTATTTCTCATGTACTGACAAACGTTTTGTTTCTGTATTTTCCCCCCCAGGACAAACCGTCAGAGACTAATGTGGTGGAACAGAAGTCTGCATCTCTGTCTGTGGCACAACTAGCAGGGAAATTTCAAGATCAACCACCTGTTTCTGGAAAGGAGGTTAGATACAATTCAGCCACAGAGGGATCTCAGGATGGACAATTGGCTGAGAAATTCCTCTTCTGTAGCACAATAGCTTGAGACTGCTGAGCTCCAGGCTATAAAAGTCATTTCTAACTCACCTCAGTAGTCTAGGACTGTGTTTCAGTTGTCCAGAGTCTGGTTGCTGAAATGCAGGCTAGATGAGCAGGAACCTGCTAATGTGTTCTGAAAACAGAGCAGCATAATACTGGATGAGTGTTTTTACCTTTCCCACCATGTACTATATGGGAGATTGGGGGATGCATGCCTCACACCATGGGTCCTCTAACCCTAATGCTGGCCCTTCCAGGATACTATAAACTGTCAGTGGTGGGGCCCCTTTACAGTTTGATAATTGCTTGGGAGTGTAAAACTGAAGGAAGTGGTTTTTTTCAATCCTCTTTAATCTCTCTGCCTGAATCTTTTAAACGTCAAAATGCCTAGGTTTCTAAAATCCTGGGCTTATGGATGGAGGGGAATTAGGGCTGAGGGATGTATGCCTCCTGGCACATGTTTCCTGACCCTAATCTCTCTTTCAAATTTACTATAAACTGGAAGAGTCTCAAGCAGGCTAGTTCTTCCTCTGTTCCCTTTTTCATCCTGTTTTTATTGTCATCCAGTGGTTTTCAGAATGCTGTATCTCCAGAGGACAATGAGCATAGGATTGCCAGCACTTGGCAACTGATGGGAGGGTTGTGGGGAGGGGCAGCGTCCCAGGAGAAAAATTAAAAAGAAAAATAAGGCCTCATCAAGTTACAGGAAGTTCTTTCCATAGAGCACCTGGTGATTCCTAGAGCTACCCAGAAATAACAAAGGGTAGTTCTAGGAATTGCCGGAAACTCTATGGCAGATCTGGGGGGTGAGGGATTCCATACCAGGGGCTTGGCAGCACTTGCTGGGGTATTTGTGGGAGACGGTCTTTTTACAGTCTTTAATGAGGGAGTTCCTAGCTAGAGTTTTTGCATATTTCGGAGGTCTTGCAAGTATACAGAAACCCTATCGTTTGTGGTGACCCTATTTCACTGCCATACTGAGAGGCACAAGGTCATCAATGCACTTTTAAAAAACTAACGTAAATAATGCTGAATTAATGCATGCTCTTGACATTGATTGCACAGGTATATTTTGAACTTCTGTTGCATTTTTGCTATTGGGCAAAACAAATGTCTAGCCAACAATGAGATTTTTTGTGTGTGTCAAACCCAGTTGGTAGTAAAGAGCCTGGGAGAGATGAATAAGCTCTTCAGTGGTACTGGGAATGGAAACTGGGCTATCAGAATATTCCTGCATAGCCAGAGGTTTCCCTCCCATAATAAATGTGCATCTGTTACTGATTTGTTTTAGTTAATTTTCTTAGATAGTACATCTATTGCTGTAGTGCATGCTGATAAAATGTGGCTGTGGAGGTGGCAAATATACCCGCTACATATTCTCAGTTATGCTATTATTAATGAGTGGCAAAACTGCATTGTTTATCCTTACAAACTTTCTATTTGTGTTATTTGGTTTCTATATATGTATATACATTCATCAATATCTGAAAAGCAACAGATCTCTCTCTCTCTCACACACACACACCACCTCACCTAGTGCATCTTTAGTTTTACATATTTTAGAAACAAAGCAGTTCTCCTCTGTGGTGCTGCAGTGCACAAGCCAGAAATGCAAATACCCCCTTTCTGTCAATCAGCCGCCCTGAGCCTTCGTGGTAGGGCGGGATATAAATCCAAAGATAAAATAAATAAAAATAAATAAAACTTGTGCTATTTCCCCTAGTCTCTACATTGCCTTATCATATTTTCCCATCTTGCAACTACAGGCTAATGCAACTAGTCTTCTGAAAATAGATAATGTAACTTCACGTGCCTTAGAAACAAGACACAGGCAGTTTGTTGATATTGAGTGGATCTTCTATATGCCTTAGAATTGCCCATTTTCAGTGTTCAGCAATGATAAATGATTCTCTTGTCTGATGTCCCTTCATTGAATATTGCACATGAGCACTTATCTCAATAGAGAAGACAATTGAATTTTGGCTTTTGTCTGCTCAGTTGTTAAACTGGTCAGAAATAACTGTTGGTGAAAGAACCTTTCTCTTCTCCCAGAAGCTAACTCTGGGCTTCACTTGTGAGTCACCCTGGCATTTATACAGAGATACATCATTTTAATAGTGAGCCTATGATGGAAGTGCACTCGTTATATTTTTGGCAGATGTTGTGTTTTCTCCCCTGAATTGAGGTCAGGGAAACTTGTTCTTCAGGTGCAAACATGAAGGGCGGCACACTGTGCTGATTGGCGGAGCCTTGTGCCAGTCAAAATGCTATAATCTCACTCCTATTCTTGAGGCAACTTTCCAAGTTTAAAAACAAAAACTGATTGCATTGTTTTAAAAAATAGCATAACAACAAGAAAGTAATGGGCAAATATTTAATCACGCACATTTGAAAGATGCTTCAGAGCAGGGCTATTTTGGGGGCGGAACGCACTGGAACAGTGTTCTGGCTGCCTTCTGAGCCCGCCCCTCCCCTCCCTTGCCAAAAGCCCTGCTGAAGAAGTGGCAATCCCATGTGCGGTCGTGCATGTCCCCAAGGCCGGCTCACCCACTATGCAAACTAGGCATTCATCTAGAGCGTGAGCCAGCCCGTGGGGCGCCAAACTGGACCTGCCCCCCCACCAAAGCCCCCCAGCCCCCACCAAAAGCCCTGCATCTCCCTGGCCACCGCCACGTCTTTCTCCCCGAGTCCGGCAAGCACTGACTCAAGGCAAAAGAGGTGGCGGCGGTGGTCAGGGAGATGCAGGGCTTGTGGCGGGGGCAGGGCCGGGTGCAGTTTGGTGCCGCCCCCCCAAAACTGTGCCTCCCTCTCCAAGTGCACCGACCGAGGTGCCCCGTGTGTCCGTCTAGTGGTGGGCTCCTCTCTGACCCTTGGCGGCCTGGCCAGCCTTTTGGCGGCGGCGGCAGCCATGCGGCGGGGCTGGGGCTGGCTCAGGAGGCCCGTCTTCCAATGGGGGCTCAGCCCGCTGGACCTAGAGACACCAAATTTGGGGAGAGCGCTTCTACCGTGGTGTAGGTGCTCGCTAAGAAGGGTTTTTTAAAGAAATTAGACCCCTAAGTGGGTCCCCCGACCCCTCCTGATTCCCCGAGATGGGCACCTCGCCACTCCTCTCCCAACCAGGGGCTCCGGACAGCAAGGAGGCAGCCAGCTGGGATGTCTTGAGGCCCTACCGGGAGGTTGGCATCTGCACTTCGCCTAGGGTGCAGAAACACCTCAGGCCAGCTCTGCATGTCCCGTTGCTGCTTCCTACTGCTCGGGGCCGGGCCCCTTCCTCCTGCTCGCCCAGCGCCCATGCATCCCAGCCTGGCGCCTCCTGCCTGGCCCAGAGGGGAGAGGAGGCCTGGCCCCCACACTCCCTCACCAGCTTGGCTACGGCTTCTCCTTCCTCTGCCCGTCCAGCTGCCGGGAGCAAAGGTAAGCACACACAAATAACTTTATCTTTGACTCCTTTGCAAAATGCTATCTGCAGCAAGCACCCCGTGAGGTGCGCCAAAGAGTCTGAAGCGCATCGAGGATCTCAGAGGAAGATGAAGGGCCATCGTGACGTCGCGCTGGCAGAAAAGGTGCCCGCAGACACCCCCAGTGCGCTGCTGCTGGTGGTGGCAGCGGCGCTGCACCTGACTGCGAGGCCTCACATGCTTCCCTGTCCCTTCCCTGCTCTGGGGCTGGGGAAACCAGGAGCCAACCCGAGACTCCTGCCCTGGACGACACCTAAGACTAATGGTTAAATCTTTTTAAAAGCCTTTATGTTGTGTGTAAAATCTATACATATAAAATATATATAAAAGAAAGTCCCCTCACCGTAAAATCAATGCCCAGACCAAACCGCTGGACCTAGAGACACCAAATTTGGGGAGAGCGCTTCTACCGTGGTGTAGGTGCTCGCTAAGAAGGGTTTTTTAGAAATTAGACCCCTAAGTGGGTCAAAAGGGGGGAAATGTGCTCCCCCATTGATTCCTATGTAGCTGCCAGGCAGCTGCCTCTCTGCACTCCCCACTCTCTGATTGGTCAGCTGCAGTGCTCAGTGATCTGAGGTAAAAAAAAAAAACCCCAGCAGTTACAGGGGACTGCAGAGAGCTAATGACAGTTAAGGAAATCAGGAGTGGCCAAGAACTACCTGTGAGGTGAAGCAAAGCTGCTGGCCCAGCCTCTCTGATGGCTTCCAACACACTCCCCCCACCTCTTACACCTTGTCTATCAGGTGCAGCTGCCTGTCAGGTGTAGGAGAGGAGGTGGGATGACTTCCAACACACTCCCCCCTCCTCCTACACCTAACAGGTGGTTGTCTGTCAGGTGCAGCAGTGGTTGCAGGGTGCTTAAAGCCATGAGGGAGCCTGCCCCAGCAGTAACACCTTAGTGATCCTGCGAGCCCCACCTCCACAGTGGCTTCTAATACTCCTCCCCCTCCTACTTTGGACAGGCAGCTTCCCGTCAGGGGCAGCG